CGGCCGGCCACTGACGGGAGGGGAATCTGCTCGGTAACCGGCATGACCGACGTGATCAAATAAACGAAAAACTAGCGTACAACAGATCACATGCATCTGGATTAATTACATTGATACATGCAATTGCCAATCGGGATAACTAAATTGATTAAAAACAACTAAACATTCACGCATGCATGTTGTGGGTTTAATTACAGTAAAGCATGAATTTGGGATTGATTACAGTTATGCATGGTTCCGCGGTGACCATGCTTGCGCGACGAGGAGAGATTGAAGGCGGACGGCGGCTAGGAGCGCAAGATTTTGGCGGCGGCTGTCCCTCCTGTTCTCTTCTGCTTCGTCAACTCACGATGAAATAAAATTGGGTCTGCAAACCTGGCCCGTTTGATCTATCACGGGAGCACAATTACAAGATTACCCTTCCACCTCACTTAAACAAATTATTAGAATGACCAACAAAATCAACGGTGAGATTTATTCCTACTACACTACTACCACCTTAAGTGGGAGGTACCGTAAAATGACTCTTAATTTGTCAGATCTTATAAAAAGCTGCGTTAAATTTGCTACACAGTCCGTGCAGTTAATCACATTATCAGTTTATCACATAGCTTATCACTGATTTTAATACTACGTCGTTGAAGCCTCTCATGAGCATTCTGATATCTGAGTCGATCGTACCACCAGCTTTTTCCACAAAATGCGTGGGACTAATCAGGACAAAAAGACGGTGACAAGGATGTGAAGCCTACCAGGACGTAGTCGGTTACCGGTAGGTAAAGCAAAGCCGTAAAGGGGTTAATACTAGCTTAATATATCTTTTACTACCTCAGTCCCATAATACAAAGGATTTTGAGTTTTTATCTTAAATATGTGACCACTCGTCTTATTTAATTTTTCTTTCAAATATAAAAACAAAAAGTTGTGCTTAAAGTACTGTGTATAATAAAGTAAGTCACAAATAAAATAAATAATAATTTCAAAAAATTTGAATAAGACGAGTAATCAAGCGTTGAAAAAAAAAATCAAAATCTCTTATATTATAGGATGGAGGGAGTATTTGACATTGGCAAAACGAACTCCTCTTCCTTTTCTTTTTCAGAGATCAGAAGTAGCGTCATACCGTGCGATATTGCGATGCAAGTCAGATTCTTCTTTAGTTCTGCACCAATCGAAGTCCTGAAAGTCAAGCAGAAAAGCGGCAACAAATGTGTTCAGAATTGAACCAGCTGACAGCGACGGTGGCATATGCATACAGCAGCTAGTAGTAGCCAGCTACTGATATCACCCGGATAGTGCTTGGGTCTCGCACGCTGTTTTATGCTTTGAGTAGCTGATGTGAGAAAATGAGAGATGAAGAAATGATTAGGCTTCTACCGAGCGATGGCCGATGGGTCTCGGAAGTTGACGTTGCAGTTAAACTTGACTTGCAAAGCCTGTGTGAGTGTGTAATTCTAATGAAGCCATGAAATGCGTAGTTTTCCATCTCTCTCCCTTTCTTTCATTTCCATCGTGCGAGGCACACGCACTACCGCCAGGGTTCCCCAAAACCCAAAAGGTTACCTGGTTATTATAAAAACCGTGTGATTATCACGAGATATACTATAGTTTTAAAAATGAGAAGGGTACCGCACGTGATAACCATGGTAACCGTATGGTTTTCTAAACCACGAGTACCGCACACACGAAAAAGGCTATAGTTCCTACTCCATCCGTCCTATAATATATAAGATTTTAAAGTGACATATACACATCCGATCTTAGGTTTATAGTATAGGAAATGTCTCATTCGATTCTAGGTTCTTATATTCTGGGACAGAGAGAGTATTTTAGGATGGAGGGAGTGGTAGATAGGAGAAGCGACATCCCGTGAATTTTGGAGGTCATATGAAAAAAACAAGTATGAAACTTACTCCATTCGTCCTAATATATAAATGTATCTAGTATAGAATGTAACATATTATAGTATTATGAATCTGAAAAATTTATCTGTTTAAACTTGTAGATTTAGGGAATGTCACATCATATATTAGGTGAACTTATTTTAGGATGGATGGAGAAAGTAAATCATAAAATAAAACAATTGTATTTTTTACTCATGGTATATTTTTATACTCATAGCAACATAAAATAGAACGGAAGAAGAATATTTTTCTAATCTTCACCTGGAAAGCATCGCACTAAAACATTATTATAGTGTATTTCGAAATAAAATCTTCAATGGTATCTTCTTAATTAATCTTCTTTAGCATGTCACTCTCAAGATCATTACCCATCCGGATGAGAGAGATGGTGAGAGAATGAATGGGCGGGGAAAGAGAAGGATGTGTTATACGGTTTTGTGGTAAGCCAGTCGATTCGATCAGGTACGAGATGAAGAATGTGAAGTAGACTTATTCACTTTGTAGACGACCGAGACAAGACACAATCCGGTTAGCAGTACTGCAGTAGGCCGTGCTGTTTTTGGGCCGCACCAGCAACGGGCTGGCCAGCCCGGCATGGTCTGCTCGAGCACGCCCTTTACCTTCTTTCTTTCTTTTTTTTTTTTTGGAATAAGTCCACTTTGACTTACTAACCCGAATCTAATCCATGACCTTAAACCGCAAAACCGGATATCTCGACTCCCGAACTATTGAAATCGGTGCAATTTGACTCCCTTGATGGTTTTAGATGGCAATTTTGCTGATGTGGCAGGGTTGACCTACTTTGTGGGATTGACGTGGTGTTTAGTTGGTATTTAAATTAAAAACGTATATGTGGGACCCGTTTGTCATTCACACACATAAAAAATTATAGGGCCCACTGACATATGTGCCCCACATATCATCCTCTTTCTCTTCTTCTTCCTCCCCTCTTCCACCCTCCTATCTTTCTCACCCATTCTCTCCCCTTCGACCAGCCACCGCCGCACGGGCTGGAGCACAGGGGCAAGTCCATGTGGGACAAGAAGCCGCCGGCGACGGCGCTCGGCGGCGTCCACGCGCCCATCGAACATGAGGAAGAGGAAGGACTGAGAGACGAAGCAGACGAAGCTGCCGCCGCTCAGGAGGAGGAGGGCGGTGGCGGCGGCACGACGGAGGTGACCACGAAGGAGGAGGATTTCGAGACGTCCGTGCATATGCGTCGGGGCAAGGCGGTGGAGCATGGTCAGCCTGGGCATGGCGACGGCAGTGGGGGCGGTGGTGTGGGCGGCGGACGCGTTGTGCTTGCCGTTGCTGGCGGAGATGTTCGCCACAGTGGATATGTCCATGTGTAGCGTCGCGCGCTTCTTCCTCCGCGAGTCCGCCGCCGCGCTCCAGGGCGGTAGGCCGGCCTCCTCCTCCTCCTCCGACGCCGTCGCGCCGCTCAGCCTCAACTGGTTCCTCCTCAGCGTCCTCACCTTCCCCATGCTCCCCGGTGCCGCCCACGCCATCGTTTCCATTGCTGATCTCAGCTCCCGCCGGCCGCCGCCGCTCTGGCCCCCGCCCGTCATCGCTCCAGCCCGTGCGGCGGCGACCGGTCGAAAGGGAGAAAAGGGGAGAGAAAGAGGGAAGGGAGGAAGAGGGGAGGAAGAAGAAAGAGAGAGAATGACATGTGGTGCCACATGTTAGTAAGCCCCATAATTTTTTGAGAGAATCTGCTCAGTACCACTGAGTTCGACACACTTCAACAATATGCCACTGACTTTGTCGATATCCATAATATGCCATCGCCTTTTCCTTAACCTTTACGATTTACCATCGCCGTCAAGCTACATGCTGTTTGCACTGTTAATTTTTTTAGTAATGACCGAAATACCCTTTGAATCATCTAATTCGCATGGCCCAGGGCCCCTTTCTTCCTAGCATCGCATCTCCCAACGCCGGATTGCCACCCTTCCCAGTGCCGTCATGGCGCCACGCCGCATCTCTGCCCACCGCCGCTCACATGTCCTCGCCAGCGTTGCCATCTCTAGCGTCGGCCCGCTCGCTGTCCCCAGCACCGCCATCCCTAGCGCCAGCACGTACGACCTTCGTCCCCAGCGCCGGCACGACCTTCGTCACCAGCATCACCATCCGTAGCGCTGGCCCAACCGCGTGCCATCCACAGCGGCGGTCCGACCACTGTCGTCAACGCCGTGGTCACATCTGATGGGAGACGGCGCCCCTATTGGAGGGCTGCTGCTGGTGCTGCCGTTGCAAACAAAGGGACACGACGCCCCTGTTGGAGAGCTGTTGCTGGTGGCGGGTGCCACCGCCGTCGTCAGCGCTGCCATCGCATGCAAGGGGACACGGTGGCCCTGGCCCTGCTGGAGAGCTGCATCTGTGATTAGTGCAATCCTCAACCGCTCCTCAACAGTCCTCGGCAAAACAAAACTCCGCCCCCTCCTGTAGCCTTGGAGATATTTGCTCATAATTAAAATACTTAAAATATGTGCTCGTAATTATTTATAATCATATTGCATAAATAAACAGTTATTATAACTCTCGGTACCTTGCACGACATGGTCTCAGTGCTGCCAATCTTCAGTAAGGGCACACTTGTCTTTTCTCCAATGCAAACTAACAGGCTATAGACGGTGATGGTAAATCGTAGAGGTTAAGTAAAAGGCGATAGTATATTATGGATATCGACAAAGTCAGTGGCATATTGTTGAAGTGTGTCGAACTCAGTGGTACTGAATTTTTTATGTGTGAATGACAAACGGGTTCCACGTATACGTTTTTAATTCAAATACCAACTAAGCGCCACATCAACCCCTCAACCTTGCCACGTCAGTGCCAAATCAACAAAACTGTCTTCCAAAACCACAAGACAGTTAAATTACACCAGTTTAAATAGTTCGAGGGTCGAGATATCCGGTTTTATAGTTTTTGTCATGGATTAGATTCGACCTATTTTTAAATGACTCAGAGTGGACTTATTCCTTTCATTTTTCGATTTTCGTTGCTCGAGCGCGCTCATTTCCCTTTTCCTTTTTCGTTTTTTCGCAAGCGCGCCCGCCTTCAAATTTTCGGCCAAATATTCCCGCGCCATCTCCGCTTTGTCAGATCGAAACTTCCGGAAGAAATCCCCTCCCTCACCTCGTCTGTATAAAGTCCACACGAGATGGGTCGCCGTGACCGCCACAAATCATTATCCGTCCGGAGGAGAGAGAGGCGGCGGAAGAGGAAGAGGAGGAGGAGGAGAGCATGGCGGCGCCTCTCTTCACAATCTCGGGGCTTCGCGAGGCGGCGATGCTGTACGCCAGCCGCGACGACCCCATCAAGGTCATCGTCACGGACGTAGAGCTCCGCCAGGCGCCCGCCTTGCTGGAGTTGCTGACGAAGGCCAGTCGGCTCCCGCGCGGGTGGGATCTGGTCCGTGACCACAAGCTTCGTCAGCTCGCGCGCCTGGCGAACGAGATCGTCGTCATCGTCGACGTTCTGGTGCCGATGCTCCGGGAGAACGCCCTCCACCACGACGCCGGCCGCCTCCTCCTTCAGTAAGGCTGGTCACTCCCCCACATCGCTCGCCATGTCGATGGGCCGGAGGGGCCGTTCCACGCGGTCGCGGTCACGGCAGGCAATTTCCTCCGCCACCACGTCGACCACATGATCAATGGTACGCGCGATCGGGACTAGCTTGTCGCGAATGTCGAGAGAGTTCGCGACAAGGTCGCCGACCTCAACACCATGGTGGTCTTCATCCCCGAGCTCGGCCTCGACGATGGACCGGACGGCGGCGAGGACGACCCGGAGTTCGGTGGCGATGATGGATCCGACGACGGCGAGGACGGCCCGGAGTTCGGCAGCCCGCAAGGTGACAACGAGGAAGCTGACGATGCATGACCATGGGGCGTGTTTGTGAAGAGTACGAGCGCCGAGCGTGTGGTGAGGGTTGTTTGCTACATTTTCTTCCAGTAGACTACTCTCGTTTTCTCTTGCTTTTGCGACTGTCGATCCTGAAACCTTAGTAGTATATGAGTAACATTCTTAGAATCTCGTCAACAGTAGTACATGAATCCATGTGCTTATTCTAGTAGCAGATGCAGATCGCTTCGAGCACTGTAAATTGAATCCAAGCAATTATACCATGAAATGGAAATGTCCACCCGATCTAAGTGTTGTCCATCAGAATTTTACTTTGCTTGTGACGTCGTTGAATGATTTCTTCCATCTGTCGTGAAATCCCCTTTCTGAATTTTGCTGCATTTCTGTTGCGTGTTCTTCAATTGTCGTTCGTTTTTTGTTGCCATCAGATCGTTCGTGGAAATTCTTGCAGCGGAAACTGTGGATCCACAGGGTTCAGATTTTTTTTCTCTCGAATTCCTTGGTTACCGTGCCATTTATTTTTCCCAAATTCACCTGAAAGGGAAGGCAATGAGCTTAGCCGATTTATGTGATGAATTTCGACGACACCAACGCCTGTAGATCCTGCTGCAGCGAGCTTCCCCCGTCGGCTGGATTTCCTCCCGTGCTAGTATTTCTCTCATGGCGTACGGGCTATTTCATTCTGCACCGACTGCGTTGGTCTTCTGACTACCGGCGGATCGGGGCATCAAGTTTCACCATATGGTCCAAAACAAACCATCTGCATTTGAGCTGATAAACTGTGGGATAACTCTTTGTTCTTCCTCTCCATTTGCAATGGAAAATACATTTGACCTTCATTTTCGTAGTTCTCTTTTCAGTTTGTATGCCTTTTTTTTTTACCGTTCTTGCATCATCTAATTTTGGAGACTGAAGCACTAGTACAGTAGTACCTGTACCTGATTGATATTTGATCTTGTATGATTTGAGGTATTTATTGAAACCATAGAAGCTTTTGTTTTGTTATTTTGGCTACTGTTGTGTTGGGGTCCTGACATTGTTCTTCAGGTATACTGGTCATGATCGTTGTTGATTTGATTTGTTTTGAAATGCGAAGGCTAAATGTGAGTGACTTGCTTGTTGTTACTAGTGCCTAATCTTCTGGAGAATAGCAACCGCAAGTGTTCGATGAACAAAACCTGCATTGGTTATACTTTGCATTGTCCCATTATCTCCTCTTTCATTTTAAAGGAATCTGCAACAGTACCTGCTGAATAGATTTAATCAAAACCTGGAGTGTATGCCGTATGGTAGTGAAAAAAACATTTTGGGCTTCCTGGCCACGCTGTAGCTTCCATAAAGAAGATCAAAGTTGGTATGCTTCTCTTTGTGTTTCAGTGTCAGGAAAGAGACATTAGGGGGGGGGGGGGGGGTGTATTTTTTAGGCTACTTCAGAATGGAGGACTGAACATATTTTTCCAAATGCATTTTCTTCTTTGAGGAAGCCCCAGCCAGCCCAGTTAAGTTTTGCTTTTCTTATTGGGTTCGTTCTCCTAGTTTGATGTCATTGTTTGGGTCGTGTTGTCTCTAATGGTTTGTTATTGATTCATGATTTAGTCTTGGCAAATATTTCTATGGGTTTCTTCTACAGTTTAAAATGCAGAGAAATGCTGGTTATTTTATTTTTAATGGCTGAAATTCAGGTTCCCTTTCAAGAGTTAGGTTTGTAAGCCCCTGATGGAAACTGAGTTTTCTAGTGCCATCCATCAAGGAAAAGTGTCTCCAACTCCAAATGCCCTTTGGTATATCATACCAACAGGTTTGCTATGCCAACTTGAAGTTTGTGAATTGTGATCTGATGACTATTTTAGTGTCTCTAGGACTCTCAGTGCATGTTTTAATTCTGGCAGACCTGTTTGCTTCAAAGAGGATCAGGCTGCAGCCTTACCAGAAACCAAAACCAAGAGTTATAGGGGATTACAAAATCTCTTGGTTAATCCTGGCCAAGAATTCAGTACACACACTCATAACAAGACCTTCTGTAGCCATTCATCTTCGATAGAGTATTTTGCAATAATAGTTTCTCATTGCCACTTAGTTGTTTCATTGTTTCATGTACACCAAACATAATACAAAGCACTCCACCTAAGACTGCGATCTAATGAGAAAACTTTAGAGTACCTAAGACTGCGATCTAATGAGAAAACTTTAAGAGTGCGAATGTTGTCTGTTACACTCCCCTTTCGTTTCTCATTTGCATGTTGAATCTGATGACTCTTTTGCTTGTTGATTCTTATGTACTCTACTAGGTGTTCGATACAATGATAGAAAAATGAATGAGCGTGTGGAATGCAAAGTTTCCTTTTCTCTGTTTTGCATGTTCATTCTTATGTACTCTATCAAGTGTTGGATACAATGATAGAAAAATGAATGAGCGTGTGGAATGCAAGTTTGCTTGCAATCGGTTTCGGGCTTTCGGCCCAGGAGAAGAGATTCCTGTCTGCAGCAAGTCATTATATCAACCGAAATTTTTGGACATCTCCAGCAAGTCTTATATCAACCGAAAATTTTGGATTTCCTCAATTTTTTTGTTGATTTTGGTTAAAGTTTATTCAAGTATGGTTAAAATTTCAAATAATTTCGGTCAAAAAGTGCAAAAAATTTGTAAATACCGATGCTACCGAAATTTTCGCTGAAATTAAAAGTGCAAACCCTGGTTACAGCAGATTGAACACTAACTTTGTAACTGCTAGTAACAAACAAATCACAACACATCCTGCACCTGAAAATTTCAACCTTTGGACAAAAACATATAAATCTTCAGCTTATACATGTACAGCAAAAAATAAACATTAAACAGGTCTGATAATACAGAGATAAAGCTTGGTCCATTGTCCATCTAAGATAATTAAACTATTGCACATTGGGCCACAGCCATAAATAGTTCAGGAAACAAATATTGGTTCATCTAAAATTGAATGGAATCGGCATTGCACGATTGAGATGATGTTCACCCTCTTCTTCTAACATGGCACCGGCTGCAAGGTTCCAGAACAGTCAAATTAACTGTAGATGGAACTTTATCCTCAATGTATGTTCTGATAGCTGCAAGCCCTCTTGGAGCATCCGTGAGAACACCATCTATCATGGGAAAACACCGCCTATACTTATCTTGATCACACCTAGGACCATAAATGGTATCCAATGTAAGACACTCAAGTGACACCGCATTATTGAGGATATAACATGTCAGTTCCACCAAGCTCTTCGCAGAGCTGAAACCAGTGATCTTCACACTCTTGAGGTGGCCATGGCGGTGTCCAGGGATGTGTCTCAGTTGTGAATCCGTGAAAATCGATTCATGCACCATACGTACCTGAGTCACCTGACCATGAAAAGGATGATATGCTTGAATTAGACCCAGAGTGATCAAAAAGCTTTGGAGGATGAAATGAATGAATGAACAGTGCCAATGTCATACATTTAATATCAAAGTCTCCAAGGACGGAGACGCATCAATAAAAGAAACCAGAGAGAAATAGTCATATGGCTGGGAAATGGTCGATCCTGTTATCACATGAATGGTCAGGTGCTTAAGGTAGAGGAATTTGGTAGGCAGCATTGGTGCATCAACCACCTGCACAACAAATATGGCATGCATCAGATTTATTACACAACAGGTATCACTAATGTAATCGATATATAACACTCACTAACGTAATCCATATATATCATTATACTAATGTAATCCGTATATATCATTGTACTAAAGTAATCCGTATATATCGCCATACTACAGCACCTCATCTTTTAGAGAATACATACCTCATGCCCCGATTCAATGACAAGAGTTTCAAGATTTGGCATAATGGATGGCAGCTTGGCCCGAGCATCACAGATTGCATGTCCCATGTCTAGCTTATTTATTTGCAATGTTTCTACAAGGGAGAAGTTTACCCTGGATCCTCTAACAAATAGACTAGAGAGATTTGGAGCTTTGCTCTCTATCACTTTCAAGCCTGAGCATTCAACGACATTAAGGCTGCTGAGCTGCTGCAGGGTGCAAGGTATCTTCAGGCAAATTATCCCCTTGCAATGATTGAGCTCTAAATGCTCCAGAGCAAGAGAGTTGGAAAGAAGGCACTCTAACTCAGCCCATGTAATGCTCACATACAACAGATGCAGATTTGATAGGTTTCTCAAGGGGCCAAGTTCAGGTGTGGGATGGAGGGCACAACATCGAAGTTTAATGTACCGAAGTGAGTCTCGGACCCCATCAGATAAAAGTGAGCATGGGAAGCTGTATTGTTTGTTTGTTTCAGGCAAAAAAAGGGTGAGTTCTTCAATCTCTGGTTTAAGAGCAATCTGAAGCCAACTGTCAAGATAACTAGTGCCATCGAACCCACACATACCACTGTAGTCAAGCTGGAACGTTTTCAAGCTAATGCCTGAGTGGTTCCTGAGAATGCGCCCAATTTTTCCGTGGAAATTCTCTCCAAACGCATTTCTCTTCAAGACAATCGTATCTTTATTAAAGATAAGATTGGGATGACACCTCCAGGAATGTAGAAAAGCACGAGATACGCAAGCAGCACGAGCAGCTTCACGCATTGACATAAAGGACTGTATACGAAACAATATGTCCTGCATACACAAACATCAGAATGCGTGAAGAAAAAATGGAGGACGTAAAGATCAACATTTATATTGCAAATCCATATGGTCATATAAAAAAAATGGAGTAATATACAGCCAGCCTAGCACAGTCAGCAAGATAATCAGTCCGATGGGTGAGTCGTGGTGATATTATGCTTGAAATCTAAGCAGCGGCGGATTCAGGGCCCGGCCAGCATGGGCAGCTGCCCGGGCTCCCAGTCTTTTGCCGCTGTGGACTCTGATGCTGTTCCTCTGCTAGCCAATGGCATTCGCTCCTGGGCAACAAGCGGCGCCAGGCGTCATGCTTCTATATGGTGCAGTCTGTAGTTTAGTATGGTGTCCTGCACGACTATTTGAGCACCAAAGCAGCCTTTTAATTGTGCACTAGTTTAAGACAGGTAGCAAAAAATGGCAAACAAGCAGAACATGTTATTGGACTCTTGATGCTGATAGATTATTGTCAGAGGTCACTATCTCTCTCTTCTGTTTTGTTATATCCTTTTTTTTAATCTATGGATAATTAATACCTAATTAACCATACCCTAATCACTTGTCTCGTTTTGCATGTGGACCATAATCTCATCATAGATGTCATCTCAAACGCAGCCTAAGCATGCCCAGGCTAAAGAAAATTTCTGGATCATCGGAATTCAATGCCTCGTACCTCAGGAAGGTCTGGGATTGAATTTCTCATTATTTTGCCAGCTTGAGAATCACCATCATAGTCATCTTGTTGACAGGGTGATGTCTTTCTTTTACCCGTTGAGGCAATAAGCCCACCTGCTGCGACACAAAAAGGATTGTTATGGTTGCAGAGACATGAACGGAAGAAAAGCAGAAAAAGGCACTCAATCCCTTGATATCTCCCAAAATTAATTTGATCTTTTTTTTCCTGAGGAACCTATGCAGGGTATCACCCATCTGAAATACCCCGTTGCTTAGTTGTGCGAAAAAAAAATAAATTAAAACTTAAAAGGAGCTCAAACGGAGAAAGTGGTGGAGAATCAATAATCTTTGCTATTCCGTATTCACCAAAGTGAAAAATTTGAAGTCAAACAAGTGAAAAATCGGTAACAGGCCCACATCAATCCAGACGAGTTAGATAGGTATTAAAAAGAAATACTATCTTTTTATGAGCTGACAATAACGAACACATCCACCGAGCCAAACTTAACATAAAGATGGGCGGGTGAGCTGTTCAGCGAGGAAAGAGGCTTACAGCGCGCTCGGATTTGCGGCCGGTGATGCCGCCGCCGCCGCCGGCGGTCGCGCCGCAGGGACATGAGCCCGTTCAGCGCCAACATCCCCATAGACGAGTACACGAAGATACCCTTCCTCCCACGGATCTGGCCGAGAAAATCACTTCCGTTTCCCCCCCCCCTTCAGATCTCTACTCCTCTCCTCTCCTGCCTATTGCAAATGCAATCCCAGTCTGTTTGTGGTTCGGTTTTGAACTCAACTTCGCGCAGGCGGCGGCGGCGGCGGGCGGAGCTAAAGCTATAACCAAACGCTACGTATTAGGTATGGAAAATTGGGAAGAGGGGAGTAGGGACTAGGGAGTATAGATGGCCATAAGGCTCGCTCTGCATGGGCCGTGCCAGCCCATGGGCTGCACTTCTGTCCAGGCATGGCCCACCAGCAGTCGGGTCGTGCCGTATCGGTCCGAAGAATTTTTTTCGGTTTTAGATTTTTTTTTAATATTTACAGAAATAATCTATCGGCCAAAAAAATTACAAAAATAGACCCTGCTGCCCACCTCTGGGGCGGCAAGCTGACGTGGCAAACGGGGGAGGAACGGGCGGTGACGGAGGGAGGGTTTTTTGCAGGAAAACCCTTGTCGCCCTCTGGTGGGTCGGCAAGGGGCCCGAATGCAAAAAAAGCCAGTCGGGGCCGGCTATTTTGCAGGCGGCCCCTTGCCGCCCTCTGGCCGGGCGGCAGGCCTCACTGCCTATAAAAGGCCTGTTGCCCAGCCCCCAGCCCTCATTCTTCTCTCCTCAATTCCAGTGAAAAAAAAAAGAAGAGAGGGGAGGAGAAGAGAAGAAGGGGCGAAGCCCTGCCGGATTCAGACGCCGATTTCAGGTAATATTCATAGATCCTATATGTGACTATTGAGTTAAATAGTGTGTATTTTTTAAAAATTTGTTTGAATAAATGCATTATATTTTTAGGGTTTTAGTTGTACTAATCTAGAAGTGCGTATTATAGATATCGGTAACTACGTAGATCTGCTAGTTTGGAATCAATACATTACCGTTGCATTGGCTTACACAAGAAGATATTACGTTGTAGATGTTTATTGCATGAAAGAGTAATATGATCTAGTTATTTCGTTGACAGATATGTCGAACAAACAAATATTCCAAGTTTACCATGGACCAGGAAACGTCCGTTACGGGCCAACTGGGGTAGATCTGTTAGATTTTATTGTAACAGAAAGGGGAATTGAGAGACCGGCTGAGAGGAGTGTACCTTCTATAAAAGGATGGTTAATGAGGGGCTTGAGAGTTGATCCACAGACAAGTGACATAACAATCAATGTTAAACTGAGGGTTTTTATTGGGAACTAATGCCAGTTCAAAACTCTCGAGTGTGGAGATGGTATTTGGAAAATGCATTGCAACGCGGGTGGCCTCTAGCTTTGGTTCCGTTTGTTCACCCGAAGGATCCAGGTGTGCAGATGAACATGGATGATGGCGAGGGACCAAGTGCTGAAGTAAACGAGACTTCTGTGGAGGAGGTCAACGCACGAGAGGACGGGGACGTAGTAGCTCCAGTGGGCATTCAACCAGGTGGAGTGGCCGACGAGGGGGAGACTGTCGGTGCCATTGTGGATGAAATGGAGAGGGAGGATTCTGACAACGAGCGTGTAGAGGAAGGTGATTCGTCAGATGATGAGACGGATATTAATCCAGCAGAATGGGCTAGTGAGGATTTTTCTGGACTGATCGTCTCTGAAGAGGATAGTGTGAGATGGGAGTACAAAGAAAATAAGGTTATTCAGGGAGCGATTTATAGTAGAGCAGAAGATATGAAGGAGGCGGTAAAACATTTTGCAGTGTCACTTCATAGAGAGTTTAGGGTTGCCAAGTCGAACCGGTCACAATATGAAGTTCGGTGTGTTAAGGAAAAAGATGGTTGTCCCTGGAGAGTGCACGCGTATAAGGGGAAATGGAAGGATTATTGGACAGTGTCAGTTGTTACCAAGCATACATGTTTTCTACCTGGTGTTCAGAAATACCACAGGAACATTACATGTGCATTTGTTGCATCTGAGATGTATGCGCATGTCATCGATAATCTCACATATGAACCAAGGTCAATAATCCGACACATCGAAGAGACATACAAGTATACTATTAGCTATGCCAAGGCCTGGAGGGCCAAACAGAAAATAATAGAATGAGATTTGGAACTTACGAAGCCTCGTATGACAATTTGCCACGCCTGCTTGGTGTTATCGAGGAAAGAAACCCTGGGAGCTCTTACGAAGTGAAGAAATTCCCCTCAATTGAACATCCTGGCAAGAGTGTGCTGCAAAGGGCGTTCTTAGCTCTACATGCATGCAAGATGGCATTCGTGAACTGTCGTCCTGTTCTCTGCATTGATGGGACATTCTTGACAGGAAAGTATCGGGGCCAGATACTAACAGCAATAGGGGTAGATGGGAACAATCAGGTATTGCCCTTGGCATTTGCTTTTGTTGAGAGTGAGAATACCGACAGCTGGTACTGGTTCCTGAAATTGGTTAAAACAAAAGTTGTTGGTATGAGGCCAAATGTATGCCTGATACATGATAGGCACGCTGGCATTTTGCGAGCGATAGGAGAGTTGCAGTTTGGGAGTATGGAACGAGGATACCCCGGTGTTTGGGAAGATGTACAGAGTAGGTGGTGCATGCGTCATATGGGAGCTAATTTCTTCAAGCAATTCAAGAACAAGGAGCTCATGAACATGTTCAAGAGGCTGTGCAATCAGAACCAGGAGAAAAAATTCAATGAGCTTTGGAAGAGATTAGATGAGTTGACAGCCAAATGCAGTGATCAGCGTGCAGCGGCTCCATCAACCGCCGTTGCTGACCCTCCTCAAGCTCTTGGACCTCTCCCAACGGATAGTCCAACATTGGTTAGAAGAACTGGATTGGAGATTCGGAAATTTTCTCAGTGGATTCTGCATGAACCAAAAGAGAAATGGGCCAAGGCGTATGACACAGGTGGTGCTAGATATGGAATAATGACAACAAATTTGGCAGAAGTTTACAACTGGGTGATGCGCGGTGTCCGTGGACTGCCACTAGTTGGCATAGTGGAGTTCATTTTACATGGGACATGCAGGTATTTTAGGGATCGGTTCTAGGCAGTTCTTCCCTCTATGCCGAACAACAGCATTTTGTTTGGAGCTTTCATGCAGAAAAAGCTAGAGGAGTTGCGTAAAAAGGCCATGAAACATCGAGCTCTAGTGCAAGGTACCCAACAGCACAGGTTTGAGATACTATGTCAAGATAAGGCAGGCAGGGGTATCTACCGCAAGAGAGTGAAGCAGGAGTGTGTTCTCAAAGACGACGGCACATGTCATTGCTCTTGTGCAAAGCCGAAGCTGCTCCACAGGCCATGCACCCATGTCATTGCTGCCGCAGCGGAGTGTGGCATACCAGATACAGTATATGTGTCACAGTACTTCAGTAAGCAAGCAATATATCATACATGGAGCGGCGAGATTTATGGGTTCGGCATAGCTGGGGAGTTCACAGAGACTAACGATGAAGTACTCAATATTCCTGACCCATCGAAGCTCCGAGGCAAGGTTGGAAGGAGGAGGACTCGTCGCATCCGCAACGATATGGACGAGTCGGAGGCTGGCAGGGTGAAGCGTTGCAGCAAATGCGATGAACATGGGCACACCTACAAGCATTGTCCTAAAGACAAGGAGAAACCAAGTGCGGCGGAGGCAGGATTATCAGGATCAGCAGCAGATGGAGCTCGCCCTACGGGTGAAGGCACTACCTCCACTCGACCACGTCCTAGGCGTCGTCGTGCCACGTCTGGTTACGTGGTGTAGTTCTTATGTTCTATGTCGGCATGTGGATTTGCTTGTAATTCGTTTCGAACTTATCGATGTGTTTATGTTTCGTCGTGTAATGTCAGACTTCGGCATGTCATGTCTTTAGGTCTCGTGATGTAACGTCGGACTAAGGCGCCTAACGTCTTTAGGTATGCTCATGTATGTCGGACTTCGACACGTAATGTTATGTTATATTATTGAACTCTACATATATGTTAAATTGCACGTCATCGTTATGTACCATTAGTAACGTTTGCTATATTTAAATAGCCTGTACTCTTGTTGTACATAATTAATCTCATGATTTTATTACTATTTCATAATTTTGCAAGTTATCTTTTGTTTTACAGTACTATTTTTTGAATTGTTCTAACACGAAACACTATATTTTTCAGAGATGGCACGTCAGGATACACCTCAGTTGTTGGACCCGGCGATAGATCACCGACACCGGTCTTACCTTACTGCGGTGCAGGGGGCTCAGCTTGGGACGTTCCGGGCACGGACGTGCGGTGAGCTACTCACGGTTCACGACTCCTTTGTCGAGAGGTACGAACAATGTTTTACTATAAGTTAGTTGCACTGTAATATTTTTTATAATGACATATTAATTTGTTATTGCAGGCTACGTGAGGCCGGCCTCCTACCGATGTGTCGGCTGGTGGAGGCTGCGGCCTGCGACGCGGACCCGGCCAGACGATGGACTGTGGACAGGTCCCTCGTAGCAGCTTTGGTCGATCGATGGAGGCCAGAGACGCACACTTTTTACTTGCCGTGCGGTGAGGTAGCCCCTACCCTATAGGACGTATCGTACTTGTTGGGGCTACCGCTCGCGGGAGACGCTGTTGGGCCAGTGACCACGGCTGTGGACTGGCAGGACGATCTGACGGCACGTTTCGCACTAGTACAGCGCGCACCGCACCTCCCGCTCGAGCCGTTGGCACACCACCGCAATACCGGACCTACGAAGAGGTGGCTGCTTCAGTTCACCGTGAGTGTTTTTGTACCGAAATGACAATCGTATTACATATTTAGTCCGCAGTTAAGGTGCCTAACATTTTATTGACTGCTTGCAGGTTGAGCAGCTACAGGCGGAGGCCGATGAGTACTCGTACAGCCGATGTTTGGAGGCGTACTTGCTCTGGCTTTTTGGCTGGGTGATGTTCTGTGGCGGTCACGGGCACGCGGTCGACAAGGGACTCGTGCACTACGCCACGAGCATCGCCGACGCCGCGGTAGGCGAGGTGCCTCAGTGGAGCTGGGGTTCCGCGTTGTTGGCTGCTCTGTACAGTGCACTTTGTGAGTCTTGCACGAAGACGGATCCCAGCGCGACCTTTGGTGGGTGCCCTCTCTTTCTTTCTATCTGGGCAGCTGAGAGGATTGCGATCGGCCGCCCTGAGGTGGACCAGCACGCGTACGAGGAGTCACTGTACGAGGAGCGACCAGAGGTCGACTACCCTACGATGGGTACTCTGTGGTTCCGTCGTCAGGT